GGGGCGCCTGGGTGGCGCAGTCGGTTAAGCGTCCGACGTCAGCCAGGTCACGATCTCGCGGTCCGTGAGTTCGAGCCCCGCGTCAGGCCTTGGGCTGATGGCTCAGAGCCTGGAGCCTGTTTCCGATTCTGTGTCTCCCTCTCTCTCTGCCCCTCCCCTGTTCATGCTCTGTCTCTCTCTGTCCTAAAAATAAATAAACGTTGGAAAAAAAAAAAAAAAATTTTTAAAAAAGTTGGGGGAAGACCTGGAGCAGAAATGGGGATGGAAATTTGGAATATTTCTCACCTGCATGCTCTCATTTCATCATTATAAAACCATAAAGACAAGAACTGTTGATCTTATTTTACAGCTGAAAAATTGCATCTTAAAAAATTCAAGTGGTTTGTTACAATTTTAAGAGGTGCTGGATTGGAACCTGGGTCTTCCAGGTCTGGAGCCCCACACTCACACAAGTTAGGGATAGCAAACAGGTAGTAGCATATGTATCCTACTCCCTGCTGTGGAACAATGCTGCTTGTCAAGGTATCCAGCAGGCAATAGTAGTTTAGCAAAGCAAGCACATTCATTGAAACCAAGTTTTTACTTCTGTATTACTTCATACAAATGATTTTTGAAAGGGTCTTGTTGAAGCTGAAGTTAATGTGGACACCTTATCTTTAATTCCTGATTAATTTGTGTAGATGTGATTAATATATTTGGTGTGTAACATTTTAATTTTTTTCAAAAGGTGTTTTTAGGGAAACAGGACATACGCTTTAAGAAAACCCAATGAAAGAATTTCAAAGAATAGGCAAATAAATATAAACTATTTTTTAAGTCTGTCTCTTCTAACTACTTAACAAAAGTACGATTAGCCTTAGTGATTTATCTTTTGGTAATGTGAACAGTATCTGGAGTTGTGTATGGCTTGACTAGACCCCATGAGTCATTGTGTGGATTCTACTTGTTGTGCCAGATATGAGGTTGTTGTCTTTTGTTCATAATTGTTTTGCTATGGTTACTCTGACCTTATAAGTTATTTCTTTAACAGATTAAAAAATTGAAAGAATTACGTTCCATGCTGATGGAACAGGATCCTGATGTGGCTGTTACTGTTCGAAAATTGGTGATAGTTTCCCTGATGGAGTTATTTAAAGATATTACTCCTTCATATAAAATACGACCCCTCACCGAGGCAGAGAAATCTACCAAGGTAATGCTGGATACAATTACTGCACAAAATAAGCTGGACGTTTTGGGGAGCTGGAGATGGGAGAAATAGTTTGTTTTGTTTTCATAGGACTGGGTACATACCAGGCATTCACGTTTTGTGCTAATTTAAGGATTTTAATATCTTGATTTTAAAAAATGATTGGTCTTTTTGGTCTTTTCAGATTCGCAAAGAAACCCAAAAGTTAAGAGAATTTGAAGAAGGCCTGGTTAGCCAATATAAATTTTATTTGGAAAATCTGGAGCAAATAATTAAAGGTATGTTAATTTTATTTTTTAATTTTTAAAATTACATCCCAATTAGCATATAGTGCAACAGTGATTTCAGGAGTAGATTCCTTAATGCCCCTTACCCATTTAGCCCATCCCGCCTTCCACAACCCCTCCAGTAACCCTCAGTTTGTTCTCCATATTTATGAGTCTCTTCTATTTTGTCCCCCTCCCTGTTTTTATGTTATTTTTGTTTTCCTTATGTTCATCTGTTTTGTCTTTTAAAGTCCTCATATGAGTGAAGTCATATGATTTTTGTCTGACTAATTTCACTTAGCATAATACCCTCCGGTTCCATCCACTTAGTTGCAAATGGCAAGATTTCATTCTTTTTGATTGCCGAGTAATACTCCATTGTGTGGATGGATAGATAGATAGATAGATAGATAGATAG